TGTGTTTTTATGTTCATATGTGTGTACGAGGGCCACAAACCTTTTTTTTTGGGAGGGGATTTTGTGTTTAGGTGTAACTTTTTTAAAAAAAAATTTACAATTTAAAAAAAAATAAATTTTCTACTTCATTTTTTGGTGGCAGTCTCTCTTTAGTGAGACCTGCAGGGTCTAATAGTCCCTGGATGTCTCCCCTGCGCTCCACTGAATGTAATGCAATGCAGAGCGCACTACATTACATTCTTTACTGGCTAGGGACTCACTTCTGGGTCAGCAACAAGAAGGGGAGGAGGGCGGATGTGTGCCCTCTACCCAGTGGCACCCGCTATGTTGGTCCCGGGCCTGCAGATGGGCAAACTGAGCCTGGGATGCATAGCGGGGGCACTGTTACCGGGGTAAGGGGGGGTGCAATGTGGAAGCATCTGGGTGACATCACAGCTCCCTGAATGCTTCCACCTGACAGGCAGGAGTTTACTTGTCAGATGTATACACACTCCCAGTGGCTGCAACCACCAGGAGTGCGGGGGCACTGTTACCGGGGTAAGGGGGGGGTGCAATGTGGAAACATCTGGGTGACATCACAGCTCCCTGAATGCTTCCACCTGACAGGCAGGAGTTTACTTGTCAGATGTGGGCTGCAACCACCAGGAGTGCGTGTAAATCCCCCCCCTGTCAGGTCTGTACACTGTATGGACCTGACAGTGAAAGGGTTCAGGATGGATTGTTTTTGTGGCGCTGCAGTCAGTGCTCTCCTCCGGACGTCCGTTCAGAAGCAGCAGAATAAATTTAGCAATTCTTAGATGTCATGACTACATTACTAATTAGGTTTTTTGGGGCTTTTTTTAATCTTCTTTCACCTGGTTATCCTGGCAGTTAGTCAGTTATTTTTCAGCTTCCTTTACCAGTTCAGTACCGCCAATCCGCCTTCTCTCTGCAGTGACTACACCTCCTTCTTTACACAGAAAACTCTGAACTCCAGCTGAATTGGTAAAGGATAGCGAGCAAGAGGGTGGCTACGTTCCCACATACAATGGGACCATGGGGAACGTAGCCACCCTCTCGCAGAGAGTCAGATCACAGCAACAAAAAGGAATTTGAAGGAGGCTGAGAGCAATAGACAGGACTTTGAGTGCAGTTTTTTATTTTTAACCATTGTTAAGTGTCTTTTTTTTTTATGTGACTCAGGTTTTTGACCTGCTTCCTCTTCATGTATCTCAAAGGCTTCATATCCGGTTGCGTGGCGTCCCCCCTCCTTGCGATTCTATATATTTAGCAAACGGTAAGCTGCTTGGGTAAATGACTGCCAAGATGAGATCAGTCAACGGCGGAGAGAGTCTTATGATTTCAGTCAGTGTGACCAGATGTGTAGGCTTGAATAGAAAGTGAGAGAGAAAAGAGGAGGAAAGTATCATCACTGTGCAGCACCATGGAACAGAAAGCACAGCCTGGGTACGAAATGGGCAAATACACCAGTTGGCCAAAGAGCATGAAGACACCTGAACATCACACCTACCTACCTACCTACAGGCGTTGGACAAAAAAAAATGGAAACATTACACGATTTGCAGGTGTGAAAGTGACAATGTTTCATGTTAAAAGCGGAAATGATGTAACATTATTTTGCTTCCGCTGTGTGATGAGACACCTAGTTAACAGGTGGAAAGCCTCATTTTCGTCATTCGCTACGTGTGCTGCTAGTAATAGAGTCATGTCAGCGCTTACTGAGCTTCGAAGAGGGCAAACTGTTGGTGCCGCTTAGCTGGTGCCTCTGTGAGTTGCCAATTTATTGGCCGTGTCGTGAGGTTCAGTATCAAAAGTTATGATGATGTATCAAAGGTTACAACGCCATATACAGTTTCTGGGAAACCATCGTCTGATCACCATAATCGCGGTCGACATGGTCAACTGACTGAAAGAGCCAAAAGGACATTGCACAGGATTGTGCCCCGGAAGAAGAAAACAGCTGCTGCAAAAGCGACTGCAGAGCTCACTCTCAGTCCCGTGAAGACTGAGATTGAGCTCTGCAGTCACTTTTGCAGCAGTTGTTTTCTTATTCTGGGTCCCAGTCCTGCACAGTGTCCTTCTGTCTCTTTCGATCAGTTGACCATGTCCACGGCGCTTATGCTTGTCAGAAGATGGATTCTTGGAAACTGTATATGCCGTTGTAACCTTTGATACTGAACCTCGCGACACTGCAAATAAATTGACGACTTCAGTCACAGAGGCACCAGCTAAGCGGTACCAACAATTTGCCCTCTTTGAAGATAGGTAAGCTCTGACATGACTCCATATTACTGGCAGCGCACGCAGTGAAGGACGAAAGTGAGGCTTCCTACCTGTTAGCAGGGTGTCTCATCATGTCATTGGCGCTTTACTGCAATTGGTGATCTGCTGTGTTTGCTGACTTCCTCCCAGAACAATAGCGGTCCCACCCAGCCATTGTAATACTATAGGCCTAGCGGGAAGCAGTTAAAGGGATAGTTCACCTTCACCAAAGAACTGGAGTATTCCAGTCAGGCTTCATGAATAACGGGCCTACACCTATAGCAAGGGCATTGTTCAACTTTAGTCAGAGACACACAGTTTTTTATCCACAGAAGCCCCTTACCTGAATAGGCAGTTCTTTGGTGAAGTTGAACAATCCCTTTAAATGCAGTAGTTCCTCAAGGACTCAAAAGGGGGAGAAGGCAAAAGTTCACCTAGAGATTTGCTGTTCCTTAGCTAAAACTAAAGGTAGGAAAAAGTGATCGATCAGAGTAATAGAATTGAAAAGGGTTGGGTCTTAGGGAAAAAGGTTATGGACAGAAGGGGGGTTGGAGGGTTGTGGTTGGGTCTTCAACACCTTATAGTTGGGGTTAACAACTACTTCCTCAAAGTTCCAACAGTGAGCCATTGAAATCAGTTGGGGGATAACGATCAATCCAGATTCGCTTGAACGTAGAGATGGGATCTTTGAGGGCCAACAACATTTTCTTATTGAGGAGAGACCAATAAATTTTCCGTTTCAGTCAGTCTATGGTAGGGGTTGATGACCACCATGCTTTAACTAAAACCTGTTTGGCCACCGTGAAAAGAAATCTCAGTAAACTAAATTGTTTATTAGTACAGAGTTCAGGCTTCAAGTTTAATAAAGCTTCTTCTCTTGGTTTGTACCTTTCCCAAGTAGTGTGTAGATCAGGGTTTCTAATTCAGGGTTCCATGGAACCATAGGGTTCCTCCAGAGATTGCTAGGGGTTCCTTGACCAATGAGCAATTTCTGCCTCTCAGATAAGTTCCCACTGACACCACTGATCTTTTTAGCTGTCTGTAAGGAAATAATTCTTCTCAATGACTACACGTGTAAGGCGCATTCTTTTCACTGACCATCACACTAATGCAGTGGTTCTTAACCTGGGTTCGATCGAACCCCAGGGGTTCGGTGAGTCAGTCTCGCGGGTTCGGCGGAGGTGAAGACCCACACCCGACTCATATGATTCATGATGACATGCCCCGCTTGTCCATCATTGGCTGCAGGTAGTCACGCAACATCGCTTAGCCCAGTGGTCGGCAAGCCGCGGCTCTTTACACGCTTTAATGCGGCTCTTGTGTGCTGGACGCCCGCTCCCCTCCCTCCTCTCGGGCGGCAGGGACTCTGATGATGATTGGCCAGTCTCGCTGCCACTCACATCCTGATAGCCAGTGATTGGCTGTCAGGATGTGTGTAGGTGGGGCAGCGTGACGAACGTGAGAGGAGCTAGGCTCCTCTCACAGTCCGCCCTGAAGACCGGAACGGCGAGAGGAACGCGCGGAGCAAAGGTAAGTGAATTGACACAGGGGGGACTTGGCTTACTACTTGCTACTTACTTACTACTACTATATAAGGGATGAATTAATATGGGGATGAATTACTATGGGGGATGAATTACTATGGGGGATGAATTACTATATGGGGGGTGAATTACTATGGGGGATGAATTACTATAGGGGGATGAATTACTATATGGGGGTTGAATTACTATATGGGGGATGAATTACTATATGGGGGATGAATTACTATAGGGGGGATGAATTACTATAGGGGGGATGAATTACTATAGGGGGGATGAATTACTATATGGGGGATGAATTACTATATGGGGGATGAATTACTATATGGGGGATGAATTACTATATGGGGGATGAATTACTATGGGGGATGAATTACTATATGGGGGATGAATTACTATATGGGGGATGAATTACTATGGGGGATGAATTACTATAAAACAGTGGTTCTTAACCTGGGTTCGATCGAACCCCAGGGGTTCAGTGAGTCAGTCTCGCGGGTTCGGCAGAGGTGAAGACCCACACCCGACGCATATGATTCGTGCAGTGAATGTTCATTATTATGTTTTTGTGTGAAAATCATGTTTTAATGGTTTTGTTCTTTGTTCTTAACGTTTTTTTTCATTTTGTGCACCTATGTATAAATATATACCTATGTTTTGAATTTTAAAAATCATATTTTATTTTTCCAATTAAGAAGGGTTCGGTGAATGCGCATATGAAACTGGTGGGGTTCAGTACCTCCAACAAGGTTAAGAACCACTGCACTAATGTATCATGAGCTGTAGATTAATTATTAGTAGGGGTTCCCCTGTGACCAGAAAGTTATTTCAAGGGTTCCTCTGTATTGAGAGAGGCTGCTGTAGACCAATTGACAACACAGGAGAGCAATAAGACGACCGGGACAGACTGTTGTCACCCTAAACCAGGAAATGCCCAAACAAGGATCTTCATAACAAGATCACCAGATATTTTAATGAAAGCTGAAGATTTAAAGAGAAGAGTGGAAATGACATTTGAAACAACGACAATGTAAAAGGCTGAGGTTTTAATGGTTGGGTTTACAATGGTGTTCTTTTACCCCAATAGTGCCATGTTAACGCTTCTCTTCCTTCTCTCTGCAGAGCAGAAAACGGCGTTGCCCTGTATTCCTGGCCTCGGAGTGGAGCTGACTGCTGGACACGGACTGGCACCTTGTCATGCCCGGTGGAAGAAGGGGTCCTAGTCGGCAGCAACTAAGCCGTTCCGCTTTGCCCTCTCTGCAGACTTTGGTTGGTGGTGGGTCTTGTGGCAATGGCACAGGGCTGAGGAACAGGTGAGTCCTGTGGGCCGGACGTGGAAAGAACTGACATTTCTTCATGTTTTATCCAACAGTTAGAAGCATGGGGCTCCTTTTAATTATATTGTGGTTATATTGCATGTCTGGTATACATTCCAGTAGTCCTTCTGCAAGTCACACCCAGGGGCGGACTGACAACTCATGGGGAACCCGGGCAATAAGGGATCGTGGGGCCCCTGTGTCCTTACTCAAACTTGAAAAAGGTACCAGGGGCATCTCATGGGGCCCACTACTGACCCCGGGCCCTGGGGCAGTGCCCGAGTTTCCAAATGGTCAGTCCGCCCCTATTCACACCCCTTATAGAATTAACCATCTTCTTAATACTCTAACATTTTTTATTACTTTTTATTAATTTTTAAACTTAAATTTATTTATTAAAGCTGGACTCCAGTCTTGCACAGTTGTGTTGGCTCTTCTCATGTACTCAAATAGCTTACTCTGATTTCACTGTGAGCTTCTCACAGTGTGCATTAGAAGCTGCAGCAAGTCAGATAGAGCCTGCCTCCTTTCCTGGCTGGAGGATGTCCAGCATCAGCTAGCCCTTGTATCAGGGCTAAAGGCTGTTCAAGTGGAGTACTGAGGCAGGGTGCTGTGATGTTTTCAGAAAATTATGTACAGAACCCTGCTGGCCTTTTCTACCAGCTGTGGTCTGCCTGCATTGCATAGACAAGCCCAGAGTCCCAGTAATGACGGCACTGGATATATAAAAATTAGGTATGTAATGAAAATGGAAAGGTTTTATTTAAAAATTTAATAAGTAATGTTGATGAAGGGGGTAGGGAGGAACCAAGGAAAGCAAAATAGTTTGTATATCCGCTTAAGCCGCCTTTTTTTCCTGACCCCACTGACCTCTGTCGTATGTTTGAAGTTCTCTATAAAGCTTCATCTTCCAGTGTTTGCGGATAAGAATTTTCCTTGAATTCGGCTTTGAAGTTCTAACTTTCATCTCAAGTCCGACATGACCTTTAAATCACACAAAGATGTAAAAAATATGTGGCCTGGTTAATAGTATATTCCCTCTAAGAGCACCTGTCATAAGAGCAGTGTGGTCCAAAAAAGAATATACACCTATCTATCATTTAATAGGTTGCCCATATATCTAAAGCATGCATTAGTAGATTCCATATATTTATGAAAGTACTGACTTTAAAGGGAAATGTAAATGGTTTGGGGTCAGTTTTATTTCAATATCCTTTAAGCCTTTAATGGTTTTTTTTTTTTTAACATACATTTTTTTTGTACATATATAAACACTTGCTATCACCATTGGTGTCACAGTGCTTAAAAGATAAGTCCACCTTTTTACAAAAAATAATAAATGCACATTTTTTTGCAGGTAAAAAAATATGCATTTATTCTTTTTTGTTTCTGGGGCCTTTAAAGCATTGCATCAGTGATCAGCAGATCGCTGATACCATGCAGACCTCCTGCAGACCTGTCAGTGTATCTATCTTTGTTGTCCTACAACCCGTATGAGCAAGCAAATACCTATTGACAGGAAGACTCAATGAACCACCACAGCACTCCACAGCGCCATAGTAGTTCATTGAGAACTACAAGCTGAGAACTGCAAAGGCTGTCGGAACTTGTAGTGTCCTCCTTCACAGAATACTGTGAATGAGTGACAAGTTTGGGGTGGGATGAGCCCAACACGACCGCATTGTTTTAAAAATTGTGACAGCTAGCGGGTAAAAGTAGATCCCCCCCCCCCCCCCCCCCCCCCCCCCCCGCAAGCTGTCAAAGCGGGGAGGAGCAAAGGCCGGTCCCTTCCTAACATGTTACACCCTGAATATGGGTGTAACCTGTTATGAAAGGTGAACTTTTCCTTTAAAGTTGTTTGCCTTTAGACTCTCACTGTTTGAACTTGTATAGTCTGAATGCAACTGGCAGAAAAGTGGCGAAGGCACGCTGCTCTGAATTTCAACATCCCCGGTAATACTAACACTCCTGCTACTTCTAAACTTCTTAGTTTAACCTCCTCATTTGACCTTAAGCAATGGGTACATGCTTCTACTCACTCCGGTGGAAACACCGCAGATCTTGTATTCTCCTACCTATGCACTCCGTCCAATCTCTCCAACAATCCTTTTCCTCTCTGTGATCACCTCCTTTTTAGTTTCACTCTCTCCCTGCCTTCCACCACCTCTCCTTCCAAACGTCTGACAATTACCCATAGAGACCTTCGCTACCTTAGGCCCCATGTACACGGGACACTTCTGAACGATGGAAACTGACTGCTGGAAAGCGTATGTTAACCATTTGCCGCCCGCCCTATGGCTGAATGGCGGGCGGCAAATGTCATCAGCGTTCCGGGTGGACGCCATATTGCGTCCTCCCGCACATGCGCAGATTGCGCTCCTGCAGAGCGGGGCGATCTGTCACCGGCCGTGTACCTCGGACACAGCCGATGACAGATCTGAGTATCGGCCCCGTTGCCGGTACCATGTGACCTGCTGTGACCAATCACAGCAGGTCACATGACAGTTGTATACAATGGATGGCTTCATTCATGCCATCCATTGTATACTAGTGTCTAGCTGTGAATGGTCACAGCTAATCACATGCACATGTCATGTGATTAGCTGTGGCCAAATCACAGCTAAGCACAAAAAAAAAACCAAAACCTGAATGAATCGATGTCATTCAGGTAAATGCTTGCTTATAGCAAAGTAATTCTTTGCTATAAGCAAATTGTGTAAAAAAAAAAAAAAAAAAAAAAAAAAATACTGATCACTTACCCAAAGTAGTACAATGTTACTATGGTAACATTGTACTACTTTGGTCATAGTGAAATATGAAAAAAAAAATCTTAAAAAAAAGAAAAAAAAAATTAATAAAAAATATATATATTTTTTTTTTTTCATACTGTCACCAGTCAGTGTCCCTGTTCACCGCCATGCCAGTTATATGATGACGCTGTACTGCACTGGTGACAATATGTAAAAAAAAAAATAGTGAAACAAATTTTTTTAATTTTTTAATTTTCAAAAAATTATGACAAAAAAAATACAACTTCAAAAAACTTGCCATGCCTCTTATGAAGTACGTTGGACTGTCTACTCTGCAAAAAGGGGTCATTTGGGGGATATCTGTACTGTTCTGACTATATCTGTACTATTTCTTGGACCTCAAGAAATTAGATTGGCCGTCAGTACTTCAGGATTGATCAATATTCAGATCTATACCATAGTTTGTGAACTCTATAACTTTCCTACAAACTAAATAATACATCCTAATTTGGGTTATTTTCACCAAAGACATGTAGCAGAATACATCTCGGCCTAAATTTATGAAGAACAATTCTTTATTTGCAAACTTTTATAACAGAAACAAAGAAAAACTTTTTTTTTTTTTTCAAAATTTTTGGTCTTTTTTTGTTAATTTAGCAAAAAATAAAAACCCCAGCGGTGATTAAATACCACCAAAAGAAAGCTCTAGTTGTGTGAAGAAAATTATAAAATTTTAGTTTGGGTACAATGTTGTTTGACCGCGCAATTGTCATTCAAAGTGTGAGAGCGCTGAAACCTGAAAACTGGCCTGGGCAGGAAGGTGTAAAATTGCCCGGTATTGAATTGGTTAAAAAATATCTGTTTAGCTATGTTTGCATAACGCGTTTATGCGCGTTTGCATTTAGAAGCATTTTTTAAAGATAAGCACAGGAGAACCTCCCAAATGCACTGAAAAGTGGTAAATTATTAACTATTTCAGACTGTTTCAGAGAAATACAGAGAGTAGAAGCAGAGACAGCAGTATGTGTTGAGATTAGCTTAGGTGTGAATTGCTCATTAACATTGCTTTTGTTTCCAAGGGTGGGAAAGGTGTCTGGTGGGGGGAGTCATTAGGGCCACCTGGCAGGGGGTCTTCATGAGGAATTTGAGGTGTGAATGATCATTAACATATCTTTTGTTTCCAAGGGTGGGAGAGGTCTGAGGTGTGAATAGGTCATTACAATGTGTGACAAGCTTGGTAGGAACATCCTGTGTTCAGTGTTTTGTCTATTTGAGTACCTTGAAAACGCTTTCCATGCATTTTTCATGATGAAAAAAGGCTCTGGACAGCATCGGGAACTGGAAGAGTTAAAAAAAAAAAAAAAAAAAATCAAATGCAAACAATTATAAACATGATTTGTTGCGTTAAGCCACGTTTTCCAAGCATTTTGTGTTTGAAACACTGATAAAATCGACTGCTGAACGCAATTTTTCTGTGTTCAAAGAAACGACTGTAAACTCAAATGCCTGTAAACAACTGTAAACAAAGATGTGTACATGGACACATAGGAAAACATTAGGGGGAGTTCAGGGGCTGCTGAAAAAAACGCTGTATGGCTCCTAAACGTGAGTTTATCAGCTGCAGTGTACATGAGCCCTTAACTCTTCTCTACTCTGCTGCTGACCACCTCTATGACAAAATCTTACCCCTGTCCCGCCCCAATCTAGCCACTTCTGTCTACAATAAATCCTTGACCTCCACCTTGGATATGCTTGCCCCACTCACTACACACAGAATCAGGCCCCGACCCCCACAACCCTGACACAGACAATTCCAGAAGTCTCAAAAAACATAACCGCACTTTGGAGTGTCTGTGGCGTAAGACTAAGGGCTCGTTCACACTTGGCTGTTTTACCATCGCTTGGCAAACGCTTCACAAACGCCGCATGTGCGGTTTAGGGGCGGTTGCTAAGCGTTTGCTGAGTGTTAGAAACACCCCACAAATGCCTATAATGCAGTTTGAATGGTGTTACCGCTCCGCAAACGCCCGGCAACCACGTCGCAACTGCGCCGCAAACGCCGGCCGGGCGTTTGTGGAGCGGCACCATAGACTAGAATAGGAGGCTACAACGCCTCATGACTCGACCAGAGGCGTCCGTTTTGCCATGACGCAAACGCTCCCGTTAAAACAGCACCATATGCTGTAGTGTGCAGAATTGGCAGAGGCGTTTGGGAAGCGGTAAAAACGCTTCCCAAACGCCTCTCTGCCGCCTGCACACAACGGTAGTGTGAACGTAGCCTAAGTCTCGCAAAGACTTCAACCAATAGAAAACTGCCCACCAAAAATACAATTCTTGCCTCCATACTGCCAAGCAGACCTATTTTATCACTCTCATTAATACCTTCTCTACCTCTCTACTTCGTTCTCCACTGCCTCCACCCACTAACTCACTCACTGTCCAAGAGATCGCCAATCTCCTTAAAAAATAAGATTGATATAATTTGTGATGAAATTTCCACTCTACAGATAACTCCCCCACCTAACACCCCATGTTCACAGGTACACTCAGCACTTCCCTTATTCGTCTCTGCTACTATGGACGAGGCTGATAAAACGTATTTCTAACACCCACCTAACCACCCTGTTCCTTTTCAAATACTGCAATCACCCTATGGCTCTATTCTTCACTCTCTAACTCACATCTTCAATCTCTCCCTCTCTTCTGGCATCTTCCCCAACACTCTAAAACATGCACTAGTCACCCCCATACTTACAAATCCTTCCTTGAACCCCACCAATCTTCACTAGCCTTCTCCTTGCTCCCCTTTTTCTCCAAACTCCTTGAATGCCTGGTCTACAACCAAGTGACCACCTCATTAAGAATAACCTTCTTGATTTCCTTTAGTCTGGATTTTGCCCTCAACACTCCACAGAAACGGCTCTCCTGAAACTCACAAACGATTTACTAACAGCTAAAACCATTGGGCGTTATTCTGTGCTCCTAGTTCTGGACCTTTCAGCTGCCTTTGATACAGTTGACCACCCCCTCCTCCTCAAAAGACTTTAGTCCCTTGGTCTCCATGACTGTGCTCTTCGTTGGTTTTCATCCTACCTATCCTAACGCACCTTCAGTGTCACTCACAATTCTGCTTCCTCCCCTCCTCCTTCTTTCTCCGTTGGGGGTCCCCCAAGGTTCTGTTTTTGGACCTCTCCTATTATTGATCTACACCTCCTCCCATGGCTTTCAATATCATTTCTGTACTGACGACTCCCAAATCTATCTCTCCGCCCTTCAGCTCAAAACCTCAGTCTCCTCACACATCACTAACTTACTGACCAACATATCAGTCTGGATGGCACACTCAATCAATCCAAAAAGGAGCCGTTAATATTTCCTCCCCAATGTACCTTTTCCCCTGACTGTCAAGATCAATGGCGCTACCACCGTCCCGTCCCTGCATGCCAGGGTGTTGGGTGTAATCCTGGACTTTGAACTCTCCTTTTGGCCCCACATCTAGTCACTTTCTAAAGCTTGCTGTCTCAGCCTCTGCAACATCTCCAAAATACGCCCATTCCTAACCAATGACACCACAAAGCTCCTAATTCACTCCCAGGTTATCTCTCACCTTCACTATTGCAATTCCCTCCTCATTGGCTTACCTTTTACATAAGCTATCCCCCCTCCAGTCCATCATGAATGCTGCTGCCAAGATCATCCACCTTACCAACCGTTCGGTGTCTGCCACTCCCCTCCATTGGCTGCCACTCACCCAACGACTTAAATTCAAAATACTTACAACAACTTACAAAGGCATCCACAACTCTTCCCCCAGCTACATCACTAACCTGGTCTCAAAATACCAACCAAATCGTTCTCTTCGTTCCTCCCAAGACCTTCTGCTCTCTAGTTCCTTTGTCACCCCCTCCCTTGCTCGCCTCCAGGACTTCTTCCGAGCCTCTCCCATCCTTTTGGAATTCCCTACCCCCATCTGCCCAATTTATCTTATACTCTGTCCCTTTTAGGCGATCCCTGAAAACTTTTCTTTTCAGAGAAGCCTATCCTGCCCCCGCCTAACAACTGTACATGTATTTTCTCCATCAGCTCATCCCCCCCAGTTATTACCTTTTTGTATCACATAACTCTCCCTTTTAGATTGTAAGCTGTAATGAGCAGGGCCCTCTCATTCCCCCTGTATTGAATCGTATTGTAACTGTACTGTTTGCCCTCACGTTGTAAAGCGCTGCGCAAACTGTTGGCGCTATATAAATCCTGTATTATAATGATGATAGTAATTACATCCCTTGGACAGGACCTCCTCACATCTCCATCCTTGCAGAGATCAATGGAAGTATTTGCTCAGCAATATGCAGATAGTGAACCATAGCTGACGTGTTTTGAGGCACAAGTACTCTGAGCAAAATTAAATGAGATCATATTCTGTATCAGCCACCCCTTTCTGTCAATCCCTCCACTGGCCCCCACTCAGTGTCCTCCACCCCTCTCTGCCAATCCCTCCACTGGCCCCCACTCAGTGTCCTCCACCCCTCTCTGCCAATCCCTCCACTGGCCCCACTCAGTGTCCTCCACCCCTCTCTGCCAATCCCTCCACTGGCCCCCACTCAGTGTCCTCCACCCCTCTCTGCCAATCCCTCCACTGGCCCACACTCAGTGTCCTCCACCCCTCTCTGCTAATCCCTCCACTGGCCTCCACTCAGTGTCCTCCACCCCTTTCTGTCAATCCCTCCACTGGCCCCCACTCAGTGTCCTCCACCCCTCTCTGCCAATCCCTCCACTGGCTTCCCATTGCCCAATGGATAAAATTAAAAACATTAACAATAACGTATAAAGCCATTTATAACTCCGCCCCAAATTACATCACCGATCTTGTCTCCAAATATCACCCAAACCGTACTCTCCGCTCCTCGCATGACCTCCTGCTCTCTAGCTCCCTTGTTTCCTCCTCCCATGCTCATCTCTAGGACTTCTCCCAGAGCTTCTCCCATCCTCTGGAACTCTCTACCGCAATTTATCAGACTATCGCCTACTCTGCTCACTTTTAGGCGATCTCTGAAAACCGATCTCTTCAGGGAAGCCTATCCTGCCCTCAGCTAATAATGGAATCTTCTACTCTTCCAACCAGTCCATCCCCCACAGTTACTACATTTTGTACCACTAGCCCCTCCCTCCTAGATTGTAAGCTCCCAGGATCAGGCCCTCCTATCCCTCTTGTATTGTTGCTGTATTGTCTCCCGTTATATTGTAAAGCGCTGAGCAAACTGTTGGCGCTGTATAAATCCTCTATAGCAATAATAATATTCCAAGTTGATGACTTAGAAGATACTGTAGACGGAAAATTAGTTGTTACTTATGTGTAACTCTGTTTCTTTCTCAGGAATGGTAGTGCCGTTGGCCTATCCGCCCCTCCGATAACTGCCTTGATAACCCCTGAACCTGTCCGTCACTGCCGTATCCCTGACCTGCCGCTGGACGGAAGTCTCCTCTTCGAATTCCTCTTTTTTATCTACCTTCTTGTGTCGCTCTTCATTCAATACATCAATATATACAAGACAGTGTGGTGGTACCCATATAACCATCCCGCTTCCTGCACCTCTCTGGTGAGTCGGTGGGCAGTGAAATGAAACCATTCTAATGTTGTACTGTACTGCTAAGCTGTGAGGGTAGAAGAGGCAGACGCTGTGCTTGGTCCCCCCAGGGATAGAAGGTTTAGCGGCTTTCTTAAAGGGTAAAATAGCTATGAATTCTATTTGAAATCTCTAGGAATTCAAATTTAGCAGAACTTCTGCTACATTAATGTATAAAAAATGAGTTAAGTATTTTTTTGGCTTTTTTTTTTATTGGTGGTCACATGATTGCTCCATCCCCTCTTCCACCCCAACCCTCATAGGTTGGATATAGAGAAGAATATATACTGCTCAGGAGAATCCCATTGAAGTGAAACCTAATTAATAAATGACAAATGTTGCCCTGTAGTTTTAAAAAGGAGAACTTGACCTTATCTTTGTTACCCTCCCCCTGATGCTCTTTTTTTCTGGCCATCTTGTACGTGAATAGTTTTCTGCCATGTATTCTGGACCTAGCAGAGCTCCAAGCAGTGCCTATTGCAGGTCCTGCCTGTTGTATTAACCCTCGCAGTGCTGGAAGTCTAGGAGTGGGATTGGGGTAGAGAACTTCATATTTCAACTAGGAGATCAGCCAGCAGCACACAAGGGATGTTTTTGGATGTAAGTAACAACCCTTTTGCTGATTTAAAACTTATAAAAAAAAAAAACAACTAAATTTAGGCTTTAAAGCCCAGGATTGAGACACTTAGCATTCTATCCTCTCACTAGCTGGAGTTGGATTTTGATTGTAGGTCCTCCATGGTGTTCTGCTCCCCCAAAATGTGATTTTTGTGGCTGCAAGGAGCTCCTGGAGAGGGTAGTGCTTGAACTGGTGAACACTACAGCTCAAATCTAGATTCAGAGTCTAATTTGACCTTTCTCAATTTTTTTTATCTTGAAGGGACCCTTAAAAGCTTTTCAGCTTTCAGCCCATATGTAGCTACTGTGAAAATGTTTATCTACAGTTCACGGTATATTACCCAACTGCCAATGTAGAAGTGACCCCTTCCATTGGCTGCCCCTGGAGAAGGATCCCTTTTTTCAGTGGCGGACCCTGTAGAAGGGACTCCTTGGAGTGGCGGCCCCTGGAGAAGGGACTACCTTGGAGTTGCGGCCCCTGGAGAAGGGACTACCTTGGAGTGGCGGCCCCTAGAGAAGGGACTACCTTGGAGTGGCGGCCCCTGGAGAAGGGACTACCTTGGAGTGGCGGCCCCTGGAGAAGGGACTGGAGTGGCGGCCCCTGGAGAAGGGACTACCTTGGAGTGGCGGCCCCTGGAGAAGGGACTACCTTGGAGTGGCGGCCCCTGGAGAAGGGACTACCTTGGAGTGGCGGCCCCTGGAGAAGGGACTACCTTGTGGCGGCCCCTGGAGAAGGGACTACCTTGGAGTGGCGGCCCCTGGAGAAGGGACTACCTTGGAGTGGCGGCCCCTGGAGAAGGGACTACCTTGGAGTGGCGGCCCCTGGAGAAGGGACTACCTTGGGAGTGGGGACTACCCGGCCCCTGGAGAAGGGACTACCTTGGAGTGGCGGCCCCTGGAGAAGGGACTACCTTGGAGTGGCGGCCCCTGGAGAAGGGACTACCTTGGAGTGGCGGCCCCTGGAGAAGGGACTACCTTGGAGTGGCGGCCCCTGGAGAAGGGACTACCTTGGAGTGGCGGCCCCTGGAGAAGGGACTACCTTGGAGTGGCGGCCCCTGGAGAAGGGACTACCTTGGAGTGGCGGCCCCTGGAGAAGGGACTACCTTGGAGTGGCGGCCCCTGGAGAAGGGACTACCTTGGAGTGGCGGCCCCTGGAGAAGGGACTACCTTGGAGTGGCGGCCCCTGGAGAAGGGACTACCTTGGAGTGGCGGCCCCTGGAGGGACTACCTTGGAGTGGCGGCCCCTGGAGAAGGGACTACCTTGGAGTGGCGGCCCCTGGAGAAGGGACTACCTTGGAGTGGCGGCCCCTGGAGAAGGGACTACCTTGGAGTGGCGGCCCCTGGAGAAGGGACTTGGCGGCCCCTGGAGAAGGGACTACCTTGGAGTGGCTGCCCCTGGAGGAGGGACTACCTTGGAGTGGCGGCCCCTGGAGGAGGGACTACCTTGGAGTGGCGGCCCCCCTGGAGGAGGGACTCCCTGGAGAAGGGACCCCTTCCAGTGGCGACCCCTTTCAGTGGCGGCCACTGGAGAAGTGACCCTTCCATTGATGTATCAAAAATGCATTTTAAATATCTTTCGGCTTTTTATTGGTGGTCACAGCACCACTCCATTCCTCTTCCTCCCCGAGCCTGGTAGTTTTGGGTATGGAGAGGAATGTCAGGAGAATCCCATTTAAGTGAAACCTCCATTTAAGTGAAACCTAATTAATAAATGACAAATGTTCCCCTATAGTTTTAAAGGAGAACTTGACATCATCTTTGTTACCCTCCCCCTGCTGCTCTTTCTTCTGGCCATTTTTAAAATCCGTATGTGCACAGTTCTTCAAGGTATTCTGGACCTAGCAAAGCCCCAAGGATGTCTACGCATGTGCCGGGATTCTCATGCAAGAGCACAGATGCTGCTCATTTCTGGTGTATGGGACCATGGCAATAATATAATAAATAACAAATGCCCATTTTTTGCAGGTAAAAGAAATGTGCATTTACTTTTCCTTTTTTTTTTTTTTTTTCTTTTTGAGCCTGGAAAGCATTGTACTAGTGATCAGAAGATTGCTGGTGCCATGCAGGACTGCTGCAAACCTGTCAGTGTATCTCTGAGCTCGTACCCCGTTCTGGCAAGCAGATACACTGTGACGGACAATCAATGAACTACCACAGCGCTCACAGCTTAGTACTATCCCTTTTAAGTACTAGATTGCCTGTAAAGATCAGAGATATTCACTTTCAAATTGCCTTTTGTTTTGCAGAATTTCCACCTCATCGATTATCACCTGGCAGCTTTCATCACCGTCATGCTGGCCCGGCGACTTGTCTGGGCCCTTATTTCTGAGGTGAGTTCTCGTTCCTTCTATCTGTGTGCTGCCTTCCTCAATGTCCCCCTGTACAGCATGGCCCCGGTTCATGCAAAACACTGCCTGGCAATCGCAAATTAAAGGGAATGTGTAATTTTTTTTTTTTTTTTATTCCCCCCCATATTATCGTTTTGCTGACTGTGTAACACATACAGTGGGGCAAAAAAGTATTTAGTCAGCCACCAATTGTGCAAGTTCTCCCACCTAAAAAGATGAGAGAGGCCTGTAAATGGCATCATAGGTAGACCTCAACTATGAGAAACAAAATGAGAAAACAAATCCAGACAATCACATTGGCTGATTTGGAAAGAATTTATTTTCAAATTATGGTGGAAAACAAGTATTTGGTCACCTACAAACAAGCAAGATTTCTGGCTCTCACAGACCTGTACCTTCTTCTTTAAGAGGCTCCTCTGTCCTGCACTCATTACCTGTATCAATGGCACCTGTTTGAACGTGTTATCAGTATAAAAGACACCTGTCCACAACCTCAAACAGTCACACTCCAAACTCCACTATGGTGAAGACCAAAGAGCTGTCGAAGGACACCAGAAACAAAATTGTAGACCTGCACCAGGCTGGGAAGACTGAATCTGCAATAGGCAAGCAGCTTGGTGTGAACAAATCAACTGTGGGAGCAATAATTAGAAAATGGAAGACATACAAGACCACTGATAATCTCCCTCCATCTGGGGCTCCACGCAAGATCTCACCCCGTGGGGTCAAAATGATCACAAGAACGGTGAGCAAAAATCCCAGGACCACACGGGGGGGACCTAGTGAATGACCTGCAGAGAGCTGGGACCAACATAACAAAGGCTACCATCAGTAACACACTATGCTGCCAGGGACTCAGAGCCTGCAGTGCCAGACGTGTCCCCCTGCTTAAGCCAGTACATGTCCGGGCCCGTCTGAAGTTTGCTAGAGAGCATTTGGACGATCCAGAAGAGGATTGGGAGAATGTCATATGGTCAGATGAAACCAAAATAGAACTGTTTGGTAGAAACACAACTAGTCGTGTTTGGAGGAGAGAGAATGCTGAGTTGCATCCAAAGAACACCATACCTACTGTGAAGCATGGGGGTGGCAACATCATGCTTTGGGGTTGTTTCTCCGCAAAGGGACTAGGACGACTGATACATGTACAGGACAGAATGAATGGGGCCATGTATCGTGAGATTTTGAGTGCAATCCTCCTTCCATCAGCAAGGGTATTGAAGATGAAACGTGGCTGGGTCTTCCAACATGACAATGATCCCAAACTTACCGCCCGGGCAACGAAGGAGTGGCTTCGTAAGAAGCATTTCAAGGTCCTGGAGGCCTAGCCAGTCTCCAGATCTCAACCCCATAGAAAACCTTTGGAGGGAGTTGAAAGTCCGTGTTGTATCCCAGCGACAGCCCCAAAACATCACTGCTCTAGAGGAGATCTGCATGGAGGATGGGCCAACATACCAGCAACAGTGTGTGCCAACCTTGTGAAGACTTACAGGAAACGTCTGACCTCTGTCATTGCCAACAAAGGATATATAACAAAGTATTGACATGAACTTTTCATATTGACCAAATACTTATTTTCCACCATAATTTGCAAATAAATTCTTTCCAAATCAGCCAATGTGATTGTCTGGATTTTTTTCTCATTTTGTCTCTCATAGTTGAGGTCTCCCTATGATGCCAATTACAGGCCTCTCTCATCTTTTTAAGTGGGAGAACTTGCACAGTTTGGTGGCTGACTAAATACTTTTATGCCCCACTGTATGTGCAGTGGCAGGACAACTGAGCTAACACTGTCCAGACTGGGAGAGAATAAAACTCAATTATCAAAGCCTTTAGTTTTTTTTTTCATGCAATCTTAACAAACACTTGTTATGTGACCGTTATTGGAGGTTTTTTTTTCTGCACTAGAGCAAGAAGATTGTATGAGTTGCTAGACAGGGAAAAAGTAAATAAAAAAACAAACCATCCCTCATAGGTAAGGCAGCGCTCTAACTATTCCACTAACAGATAAAACTAAGAAAGCAATTTTTTGCTTCAATGCTCGCCTGCAAGCCAGGGCTGGCCTCCACAGTAATTCTTTTCTGCCTCTAGATGCCCTCCATTTATGGGGATGAATGATTGCCAGCATCATTCAACCCTCTTCCTCTAGGGCTCAGGCCCCTCTTTCTCAACCTTTTCAAGGCACCCTTGAAATAACTTTCCGGTCTCAGGGAACTCCGGCTAAAAATGACTATATCTACAGCTCATGATACATCAGTGTGATGGTCACTGGGAAGAATGCTCCTTACATTTTGTGATCATTGAGAAGAATTACCACCTTACAGATACCTGAAAAGATCACCGGTGTCAATGGGAACTTATCTGAGAGGCAGCAGTTGCTCATTGCTCAAGGAACCCCTCGCAACCTCTTGAGGAACCCTAATTGAGAAATTCTTGCCCAGGCTGTCCTGGACCCACCCCCGTTCTGTGACAGGGTAGTGAAAGGAGAAGCAGCACAGTGATGAGCTCATTTCTCTGTCACTTTGCGTTCTTCTCCTGTCAGCATGCTTCTTGTCATCACATGAGCTGATTGGTTTCTTGTGCTACTTCTCCCCATTATAGTCTGGTCTGTCTGTACAGGGACTGCAGGAAGTGAATATCAAGTCAAATTCAGGTGTGCATTAAAATATACATTTAATGATAAATTATGATTACAGAGCTGCAATGATTTGAGTCTTTTATATCTGCCTGGAGTTAAGTTTCAAGCTTCACTTCCTGTGTCAGACTTTTTTTTGGCTGATTATTGCTTCTCTCTTCCAGGCTTCTCAGGTAGGATCATCCTCCATGGTCCACTACAGCGCTTTGATCACCGCCCGCCTGGTCCTGCTCACACTGTGCGGGTGGGTGTTCTGCTGGACCCTGGTCAACCTGTTCCGCAATCATTCAGTCCTGAACCTCTTGTTCTTGGGCTACCCGTGAGTTGATGCTACAACCTCTTCCATGTGTGTGTGTCAGATTGTGAGAGACGGAGACAGTTGAGTCTAAATGATCGCTATATACAGTGCCTATAAAAACTCATTCACCCTCTTGGATGTTTTTATGTTTCATAGTCCTAGAACATTGAATCAGGGTGGATTTAATTCAGGGTGGATTTGATTTAAATCAAACTGATTTAAATCACGATTTAAATCACTAGTCAGTAAGGCTTGATTTAAATCCTAGTTTTCTACATAAAGACTAATTCTTGCTGGTATAACTTTAATATGCAAGTAGATGAAGATTTTTAGAAAAACAACTTTTCATATTAGTTTTTTTATCCCCAGTTTAATAGGTTAATCATTCATATTTGGACAACTTTTCTTTAGGAAGGAGAAAAATAATCATTACCTTAATAATAACAATTTAAATATATTTATTCAACTGAAACAATAACATTCCAGCATCTGTGATTTGCTTAAACATCCATGTTTGTTCACTAATTTGGCTAAACAAAATATATATATTTGAAGAAACGTAGACTGTCAGCCCCTTCCTCCTCACACTTAGTTTCACTTTCTTCTTGTGCAGATCTATTTCACTCCAAACAATCAGAAAAATATTGTTTCTATTCTATTCACTGAACTTCTTGAAACTTCGCACTGAAGGGGTTGATTCTGTATTCATAGGTTTGTAGAAGTTAGGATGAAGGTCTTTTTCTTAACTCTGTTCATGTTATAACATTTTTGCTGTGAAGAAGAGGCATGTGATCTCCGCTGAGTCAAATTCAGTTTTGAGAACTGCAAAAGTAAACCGAACATCTGTGATAATATCTTGTAGGCAGAGAAACTGCCCAATAATCTTACAAAAACCTCTGGAAGAGCATGACATTGTGAATGGATTCATGGAATTTATTTACCAAAAAAATTAAACATATACAGCCTTATTCTACATAATTAAAAAACTAATCTTTATTTCATGATGGAATAACCTTTGGATGGTAATATATTTTCCTCCAAAAAGCATTTTATTTTTAAAAAATCGATTTAAATAAAAAAAAATCCGATTTTTAAATCAAAAAAATCTGATTTTTTTTTTATTTTTTAAAAAAAGTCATTGATTTTTATCCACCCTGATTTAATTTTATTTGCTTGACGTTAAGTGGTCTACGTATAAAACATTCATTATCAGGCTGCAAATGACAGTACTTTCTCTAATATGTGCGGTTCCATAGATCGTCAGCGCCATTTATTAGCTGCAAAACATTTTTTTTTTTTTTCATGATGATGATTGGGTATTTATGGTCACTATGTGGTGCTAACAATATAGGAACTATATGTATTCGAGAATATACATCAGTTTCCTTCCTAATTGTGCTTATGTTTGTCTTATCTGCACGGTGAATGTTTTGTATTTTGGCCCGTAAAGTGCATGAGTGATGGCATGTCATTGTCATTTCCAAAGTGAGAAACTGATGGGTTGCTATAAGAAAAACATAGACTGTTTTTAGGATTCCGTTTGACCCTGTCGGCACACTATATTAGGAAATGTTTGTAGATATCTGACCATCGCTTGCACCCCTGTCTCGTTCCAGGTGATTCCAGTTAGGGTACTATTATTATTACACCATATAAAGATATTTTAGACAATTGTGCCCTTCCATCTTTGTGACAGTGTGGGGGAGGACTCTTTTTAATTCTAGTATTACTCTGGCCACATGCACAAAACTAGATCCATAAAGACAGGATTTGAGTGGAGGAGCTTGAGTGACCTGCACTGAGCCCTGACCTCAACCCAACTAACACCATCCATAAAAACATGGTTTGGTGTGGAGGAACTTGAATGGCCTCCATAGAGACTTGATCTCAACCTTACTGATCACCATCCATAAAGACATGGTTTGATCAGTGTGGTAAGGAGGAACTTGAGTGGCCTGCACAGAGACATGACCTCAACCCTACTGATGACCATCCGTAAAGACATGGTTTGGTGTGGAGGAACTTGAGTGGACTTCACAAAGCCCTGACCTCAACCCTACTGATCCCCATCCATAGGGATATGGTTTGATGAGTGTGATAAGGAGGAACTTGAGTGGCCTGTACAGGGACATGACTGCAACTGATCACCATCCATGGTTTTATGAATTTGGTGTGGAGAGATTTCAGTGTCCTTCACAGCGCCCTGACTTCAACCCTACTGAATACTTGGGACGGATTGGAGCTACAATTGTGAGACAGGTCTTCTCATCCATCATCCGTACCTGACCTCACAAAAAGTTTTTCTTGGTGGAATGGGCACACTCTGTGGAAAGGCTTTCCAGAAGGGTGAGGGATGTTATGGCAGCCAATAGGGGACAATTCTAGCCAATTTAAAGGCCAGGTTTTGTAATGCGATGTCCAACAAAACTGGCATAGATGTGATGGTCAGATGTCCACCAGCTATTGGCCATATAGTGTACATTGTTGGAAGTGTTTATTTTGTTTCGTCAGTATTCATATCTCTCTTGTGTTTCTTCCATCTCTCTCCAGATTCGGAGTCTACGTACCTCTTTGCTGCTTCCACCAAGACAACCGCTCCCAGCCTCTGCCCACGGATTGTGGATACCTCGTACAGGATTCATTGGTGGAGGACGGTGCTAATGACGTGGCCAGCCTTGTCAGACCCAAAGACTTTCTGTCCCTCCTCCGAGAGTCCTTGAGGGAACAATTCAATTCCCCCCCTCCATCCCATCCCACAGCTGTCCGCTGTCCCCGGACCTCATACGTAACGAGGTGGAGTGTCTGAAAGCAGACTTCAACCGCAGAATTAAAGAAGTCCTGTTCAATTCCCTCTTTAGTGCCTACTATGTGGCGATTCTGCCGCTGTGCTTTGTAAAAGTACGTCTCTTCTTCATTTGTATACTTTAAGAGGTGAAGTTTAAAAGTATAACTAACAGGCAAAACGTTTTTTTTTTAAGGTTTTAGCTAGAGCGGAGAGGGATTAGAACATCAGTCAGGTTTTTATTGCTGTCTGTGCCCCTGTTTTTGAGATTCCCCCTCTGTTTGTCCTGTTTACCATTACAAAATGTGAAAGTAAAAAAAAATCCCAAATTTTGCGTTGTCCCCAGAAAAGTAATAGAGGGGAGATCTTCCAATGAGGACAGACTTCTGGTGACCTGGGGGCCCCAAGAGATTCCCTTTTATTTGCAGCAATTTCCTCTCACTTCCTGTTTTGGTTATGGGACAGGAAGTGAAGGCAAATCTCCCCAGTGTAGCACATATGGCAGAAAAAAATATTTGAAAGGGTTTATAACCCTCCCTTACTCAATCCAAAATGGGGAAAAAAAGTTTTGCCTATAGTTCTACTTTGATACTGAACATTTTACTTGTTTGTCCTTTTACCTATTAACAAGTTTAACCATTTCAATACCGGGCAATTTTACACCTTCCTGCCCAGGCCATTTTTCACGTTTCAGCGCTCTCACACTTTGACAATTGCGCGGTCATACAACATTGTACCCAAACTAAAATTTTATCATACAACTAGAGCTTTCTTTTGGTGGTATTTAATCACCGCTGGGGTTTTTATTTTTTGGTAAATTACCAAAAAAATACCAAAAAAATTGAAAAGAAAACACGTTTTTCTTTGTTTTCTGTTATAAAAGTTTACAAATAAATAATTGTTCTTCATAAATTTAGGCCGAGATGTATTCTGCTACATGTCTTTGGTGAAAATAACCCAAATTAGGATGTATTATTTAGTTTGTAGGAAAGTTATAGAGTTCACAAACTATGGTATAGATCTGAATATTGATCAATCCTGAAGTACTGACAGCCAATCTAATTTCTTGAGGTCCAAGAATGTCAGAACAGTACAGATATCCCCCAAATGTCAGGACAGTACAGATATCCTCCAAATGACCCCTTTTTGCAGAGTAGACAGTCCAACGTACTTCATAAGAGGCATGGCGAGTTTTCTGAAGTTGTATTTTTTTTGTCATAATTTTTCGGAAAATGAAAAAATTAAAAAAATTATTTTCACTGTTTTTTTTTTTTTTACATACTGTCACCAGTGCAGTACAGCGTCATCATATAACTGGCATGGCGGTAAACAGGGACACTGACTGGTGACAGTATGAAAAAAAAAAAAAAAAAATATATATATATATATATTTTTTTTTATTATTTTTTTAATTTTTTATTACATTTTTTTTTTTTTTTTTTTTTTTTTTAAGATTTTGTTTCATATTTTACTATGACCAAAATAGTACAATGTTACCATAGTAACATTGTACTACTTTGGGGAAGTGATCAGTATTTTTTTTTTTTTTTTTTACACAATTTGCTTATAGCAAAGAATTACTTTGCTATAAGCAAGCATTTACCTGAATGACATCAATTCATTCAGTGTTTTTTTTTTTTTTTTTTTTTGTGCTTAGCTGTGATTTGGTCACAGCTAATCACATGACATGTGCATGTAACCTGCTGTGACCATTCACAGCTAGGCATTAGTATTATACAATGGATGGCATGAATGAAGCCATCCATTGTATACAACTGTCATGTGACCTGCTGTGATTGGTCACAGCAGGTCACATGGTACCGGCAACGGGGGCCGGTACTCAGATCTGTCATCGGCCGTGTCCGAGGTACACGGCCGGTGACAGATCGCGCCGCTGCGCGGCTCTGCAACTGCGCGAACTGCGCAAGCTACGCATGTGCGGGAGGATGCCAAATGGGGTACACCCCGGAAAGCTAGAGCATTTTTGCGGCCGCCAAACGGCTATAGGCCGGGCGGCTAATGGTTAAGACCGGCTCATTGTAGCTTTACTGCTACAGGACGGCTGCTCTGCGCGCAGAATCACGCATATAAATGTGATTCTGTATTTCCGGGTAGGGGGCGTGCGCGCCTGCCTGGCTGTGCTGTAATTTGTCACAGCTCATGCCAATCACCCAGTGCCAGTCACTGACTGGCTGCTGGCGATCGTCTCTCAGACTCAGAACACATCTCTGTCAGTGTGCACAGCACAGAGCTGTGTTCAGTGACAGGCGATCTAGTTGATTTTTCATTCCTTGCTAAGCAGGGGATGAAAATGACTAGATCCACGGTAAAAGCAGCGCCCAGTACACACACAAACACGTTAGGTACATATTTAACTCCTTGATCGCCCTAGGTGTTAACCCCTTCCTGCCCAGTGTCATTGGTACAGTGACAGTGCATATTATTAGCACTGATCACTGGAATAATGGCACTGCTGATGTCACTGGCAGTTATTTCTCCCCGGCTGATCTCCACCCTTACTAGTATAAAATAAATAAGTAATAATTCCACCATGTACCCTAAAGTTTACAGACGCTGAAACATTCACACAAACCTAACAATATACACTTATTGGGATTTTTGTTTTTTTGCAAAAGATGTTGCAGAATACATTTTTACCAAATTTTAGTCAAAGATTTTATTTTATTTTTTTATGGGATATGTTTTATAGCAGATTTCTTTTTTTTTTCAAAATTGTGTTTTTCTTTTATATAATAAAAAAAACCCGGAGGTGATTAAATACCACCAAAAGAAAGCTCTATTTTTGTGAAAAAAAGGATCCAAATCCAACAGTTAAAGTAGCACCTCCGCATAGCAAAAAATGGCCTGGGCTAGTAATGTGTGTGCGTGTGGGGGGATAGATCTTCCAGGGCAAGTGGTTAAAGAGACCCCGTGGCCACTCATTCCAGCAAGTCTTCCCATAAAATAGGTGCGTTTTATGTATGTTATTTACTTGTAAAATCCTCCTTTGTGTAGCCATTCAAAAGCCACGAGACTGCTGCTGGATGCCGCCATCTTGGATGTGATGTCAGCAGCCCCACAAGGCTCAGAGCTGTCACTCCTAGTATTCCCATATTCCCCTTCACTCCTCCCCCAGTAGCTACGTAAAAAGTAGGGAAATGATGAGAGGAGTGGAGGAGCTGCTCCAGCACAGACAGTAATTAGACCCTCCCAAAAGAGGAGAGAGGGCTATGATGTGTACGGGGAGGAGGGGCCGTGCTGAGGAATTGACTGCTTCAAGGCACCTTGCAAATGAATAAAAAAAATCTTTTAAATCTCAAAATCATTAAAAACCAAAATGTTATACCGTATTTACTCGAGTCTAATGCGCCATCAAATCTAATGCGCACCTCTATTTTGAAAGGCTTGAAATTGAAGAAACCGTTTGATGGCGATTGTAGTGCGCACCTGCATACGACAATGGGTTAAAGTTATGGACTTTCATTTTATTGCTGGTAATTAGTGAAAATAGGGTAATAAAATGTCACAATGGCCTTGTGTTAAGAATGTTTACTTTTGGTAATCACAGTACCTTAGACAGCAACAATAAATTCACCGTATGTTATGGCACGTTTTTTTGTTATACTATAGTAAACTATTAAACCAAATACTGACCTAAAACAAGTTTTTACATAGAAAACGTTTTAATAAATGTTAAGTTTAAGTATACAGCTTAAAATTATGGTACAGAGATGGAGGAGATGAGGGGGCCGCTGGAGGAGATGAGGGAGAGGGAGCCGCTGGAGGAGATGAGGGAGAGGGGGCCCCCGGAGGAGATGAGGGAGAGGGGGCCGCCGGAGGAGATGAGGGAGAGGGGGCCGCCGGAGGAGATGAGGGAGAGGGGGCCGCCGGGGGAGGGAGGGAGAGGGGGGCCGCCGGAGGAGATGAGGTAGAGGGGGCCGCCGGAGGAGGTGAGGGAGAGGGGGCCGCCGGAGGAGGTGAGGGGAGAGGGGGCCGCTGGAGATGTGGGAGGGGCCTCTGGAGGAGGGGGGGTTTTGGTGGACGAGATGAGGGGGGGGGATTGGTGGAGGAGATGGGGGGGGGGGATTGGTGGAGGAGATAGGGGGGGGGGATTGGTGGAGGAGATGAGGGGGCCGCTGGAGGAGATGAGGGTGGGGAGATTGGTGGAGGAGATGAGGGGGAGGGGGGTTGGTGGAGATGAGGTGGCTGCTGAAGGAGAGGAGGGTGGGGGGCTGCTGGAGGGTGGGGAGCTGCTGGAGGAGCCGTACCGCCGGGTATGTGGGAGGTACCACCTGCAGCCAGTGCAGAGTTGCCGAATGTGGTGGTGGCACTGCCAGGTGGCAGCTTAGCAGTGTCTCCGAATGAAAGGCGTCCTTGAATGTAATGCGCACACCGAGCTTAGTGCCTCTTTTTGGCCAGAAAAGGTGCGCATTACATTTTAGTAAATACGGTATGTTGCAGCTTACCACTTCTCAAATGTGGTTGGTACATTAGTTTTTTTTTTTTTTTTTCTCCTTTTATTGTTACCCAGTGATCTGACCAGTAATGCACTTCCTATCTTAGGGTGTCTCCAGTCTGGATGGAGGAGCAACAGCAAAGCCCAGTTTTTCTTTTTTGTGAGACGGACTTTCTATTTGGATGTGGCTTTTGCAAGTCTTGTTCATCTTCTAACACTTGTGGTCAGCTTTATGTAAATGATGCACTTCATGCGTCTTGTGAATGTATTCCTTGTTCTGTCATTGTGTCTCTCTTGCCTTGCAGAGCACTCAGTATTATGACATGCGGTGGTCGTGTGAGCACCTCATTATGGTGTGGATCAATGCCTTCGTGATGCTGACCACACAGCTGCTGCCGCCCAAGTATTGCGACTTGCTGCATCGGTCGGCGTCACACTTAGGAAAGTGGCAGAAGCTGGAGCACGGGTCGTACAGCAACGCACCGCAACACATGTGAGTCCTTCCAAAGTTCATGATGGAGTTTGGCTTTAAAAATTTTCATTAGGCACTTATCCAGACTTGGCTAGTGGAGTAGCCCTCTTGACTTTTTATATGACTTTAATGGCAATGTACGCCCACCTGAAGTTTGCTGCTGTGCAAATATGCCACGGGGGGGTCTCACTCCTGAAGCTGTATTCTGCACAGTGGGCAATGGGAGCAATTCAGAAAGGAAGAGGGTGAACCCCATGTAAGGATTTTATTGGGAGAGGTGTACTGTGATCTACATTATTTTATCCCTGGTTATCTGCCCTCTTAAGTGACATTTTTCTCTCTTCTCCTCAGCTGGTCAGAAAGCACAGTATGGCCGCAGGGCGTCCTGGTACGACACAGCCGAAGCTTATATAAAGCCGTGGGGCCCTATAATGTAGCAGTGCCTTCAGATGTCTCACATGCCAGATTTTATGTAAGTAGAGCCTGAGGGATGTGCAGCATGCAACCTTTTTTAACCTCCTTAGCGGTGTTCCCGAGTGTAGCTCGGGGTAAAGTTTCAGTACCAAAAGCGGTAACCCCGAGCTACACTCGGGCTTACCATGCGGCGCTGCATAGGGAGTCCATGCAGCACTTACCTTGTCCTTCGCTCCCGCGATGTGTCCCCTGCAGCGTCCCCGGCCATCTCCTCCGGCCGATGCCGGCATCCGGCTTCCGTGTTCCGGTCCCTGTGACGTCGGGTCATACGGGCGCCGGAACCGGCGGGAAATTTGAATTTTTTAAAAAATGTCATTTTTGCTGTCATTGCTGTTTCAATGCATTTCACATATATTCTGTCCCTACTGCTTTGTCCGGCGCCCTGCCTGCATTTTGAATGTTCTTTCTGCCTGGAAACTTAGAAACGTCCATGGCGTCCAAAAAGTGTCCCTTTACCTCAAAAGCGGTTTTAGACCGGCTAGAGAACAGCGATAGTAAATCAGAACCACTTGCAGAATTGAGTGATAATGATTCGTGGGGGAAATTCGTCATCAGACACTGAAAACGATTTTGCGACTTTGCTCAGCGATGTGCGAATTTGCCTCTGTAATTCAAATTTCAGTGTTTTTTGGTTTGATTATATTATTGAATTAAATTTATTATTATTATATTATTATTTTTTTATGATTATTTATTATATTATAATTTATGATTTCGTGTTTCAAATTTTATCATATCCGGGATGTTTACTAGACTCTTGTTCGGACAGATTTCAGTGAGTTATTCCTAAAAATTACAGCCTACAATAAAAAAACTACATATTTCCATGCAAAAAAATGTACCGCTTTTCAGCACAAAAAATCAGAAAGAATCATACCACCGAGGAGGTTAATTGGGCAGCAGAAATCTGCAGTAACCAGTTGTCTGTATGTGCCATGTATTGCTATATCATTTTATCGGCATGGCATTTTGTTATTTTGCAATAAGTCGTATGAATGTTTTCTAGATACGTGTATATATATATAGCTCAAAAAAAAAAAAATGAAAGCAACACTTTTTAATCAGAGTAGGCCACTAAGTCAGTTAACTGACCAGATCAATATCTCAGGAGTTTAAGTAGCAGAGGGGGTTGTTAATTTCATTAACACCAAAGCAGCTGAAAATGATTAACAACAGGTGCACTAGATGGGCAACAATGAGACAACCCCCAAAACAGGAATGGTTTTACAGGTGGAGGCCACAGACATTTTTTTTCCCTACTCATCTTTTCTGACTGTTTTTCCCTAGTTTTGCATTTGGCTAGGGTCAGTGTCACTACTGGTAGCATGAGGCCATACCTGGACCCTACAGAGGTTGCACAGGCAGTCCAACTCCTCCAGGATGGCACATCAATACGTGCCATTGCCAGAAGGTTTGCTGTGTCTCCCAGCACAAGTCTCAAGAGCATGGAGGAGATTCCAGGAGACAGGCAGTTACACTAGGAGAGCTGGACAGGGCCGTTGAAGCGCCTTAACCCATCAGCAGGACCAATATCTGCTCCTTTGTGCAAGGAGGAACAGGATGAGCCCTGCCAGAGCCCTACAAAATGACCTCCAGCAGGCCACTGGTGTGAATGTCTTTGACCAAACAATCAGAAACAGACTTTATGAAGGTGGCCTGAGGGCCCAACGTCCTCTAGTGGGCCTTGTGCTCACTGCCCGGCACCATAGAGCTTGAATGACATTTGCCATTGAACACCAGAATTGACAGGTCCACCACTGGCACCTGTGCTTTTCACAGATGAGAGCAGGTTCACCCTGAGCACATGTGACAGACGTGAAAGGGTCTGGAGAAGCCGTGGAGAACATTATGCTGCCTGTAACATCGTTCAACATGACTGTTTTGGTGGTGGGTCAGTGATGGTCTGGGGAGGCATATCCATGGAGGGACACACAGACCTCTACAGGCTAGACCATGGCACCCTGACTGCCATTAGGTATCGGGATGAAATCCTTGGACCCATTATCAGACCCTATACTGGTGCAGTGGGTCCAGGGTTCCTCCTGGTGAAGTGGGTCCTGGGCTCCTCCTGGTACACGACAATGCCCGGCCTCATGTGGGGAGAGTATGCAGGCAGTTCCTGGAGGATGAAGGAATTGATACCATTGAATGGCCCCCACGCTCACCTGACCTAAATCCAATAGAACACCTCTGGGATATCATGTTTCGGTCCATTTAACGCCGCCAGGTTGCACCTCAGACTGTCCAGGAGCTCAGTGATGTCCTGGTCCAGATCTGGGAGGAAATCCCCCAGGACGCCATCCGTGGTCTCATTAGGAGCCTCCCCCGATGTTGTCAGGCATGCATACAAGCACATGGGGGCCATACAAACTACTGAGGACCATTCTGAGTTGCTGCAATGACATTTCAGCAAAATGGACTCCCCTGCTGCATCATTTTATCACTTTGATTTTCGGGGTGTCTTTGAATTCAGTCCTCTGTAGGTCGATCATTATCATTTCCATCAAACGATGGGGCATCCTTACGTTCCTAACACATTCCTCAGTCCATACCAGTATAGAGATCCAGCAGGAGATTTTTTTCCCCATTGAGATCTGATGTGTTTTCAGAGTGTTCCTTTAATTTTTCTGAGCCGTGTAATAAAATAATTTATCAAAAATGCATCCTAAAAATTGCCTAAACTGCAGTAGTTTATGGAAAAGTAGGCACTTTTAAGATGTGTATTTTGGAGGGGTGTGTTTGCCAGTTTTGCCGGTACATCACGCAGAGCATACATTTGCACAGCCAATTACTCTAGGTAAATAGCATGCAACTGTTTAGGGCTATTTGGCTCTCATCAGTGCATGGTATGGAACAGTCACATGAATCATTTGAATCAGCAAAAACACACTCAGTGCCGTCTTCAGTCATCTGTTCCTCAGTCGTCTGCTCTGACAAAGGAAAGCAAAGCCCCACTTCACCAAGATGGCTGCTCCCACACAGAGAAGCAATGCAGAACAATGTGTGCTTTCTGTGCCTAGGCACTCATTTGCCTACATATTTATATCAATAGTGTGAGATCATCTTAAGCCGACCATGGATGGATCGAATCTTGGCCAGTTAAGCAGGGATCGGCCATCTATGGGCAGGCCGGTTGTACTGAAGTCGATCCATCCAGCCTGTCTGGTTTTCTGTATGTGGCTACTGCTGGAAGAACATAATAGCTCCATGGGAGGCATTCCCCCATCAACACTGACTGTATTGATGGAACTGAACAATTTTCTTTTCTTCCACCAGTGGTGGAAGGAAGGAAGATCATATAATCTGTGGCCTGCTTTAGGCACTTCTGCACTGTTACTGTGTGGAGGTGGCCATCTTGGTGAAGACAAAACAAGGAGCGCTTTCTGTGCTTAGGCACTCATTTGCCTACAGCCTTGTAGCTGTATATCAGTGTGAGATCATCTAAGACACTGCGCCCTCTACCAACATGGCTGCCTTCACACACCACAGAGCAAGACATGGTAAGTCCACAATGAGGGAATGATCAGGTGCAGGGAGATCACAGGCATAACTTGGGGAATAATTAGTTGTCCTACTTCTTGCTTTTCTTTGGCACCCCTTCTCACAGTACAGGTCAACTTTAAGGGCCTGCCCCAAGTTCTGACCCATTCTGGTGACTACAGAGGTCCCTTTTGGCTAGAGAAGGACCCAAAATACATTGAGCAGTATAGTGGAGCTATACGTAGGAGCTTGGGCATAATTTTATTTAGTTCTTAAAACAGGAAAAAAAGTGGGATGTTCTATTTTAGTTCCGGGTGAGCCTGTAATATTATTATTATACAGGATTTATTTAGCGCCAACAGTTTGCTCAGCGCTTTACAATATAACGGGAGACAATACAGCAACAATACAGTTCAATACAAGAGGGATAGGAGGGCCTGATCCTTGGCGCTTGCAATCTACCCCTCTTCCCCACCACAGATGGTTGGGTCTGAGTACATCACTATCTCTTCACACATCTTGTATAGTAGTGATGCATTGGAAGCGTAAAACCAGGTAATAAGACTCACGATGGGTTTCCTGTAAAGCTAAACTCCAAGCAGATAAAACATTTTTAAAAAAATACAATATAAAAATGTAATTTTATTGTATTTTTATTTTATTAAAAATAGTCAAAAAGCAGCAGGAGGTGGCAGAAATGGCACAGATCCACAGAATGAACATAGCAGGGAGATCCTTGCACTGCAGCTCCTCAGGTACAGCTTCCTCTCCAGCAAGGAGAACAGTGAGTAGCACAGTAATCACATGACCAAATCCCACTCCAAATCTGGTGAGACTAGCAGTCGGAGGCATTGGATGATCTCACACTGGAGATATACAGCTATGAAGCTCAGTTTCCGCCACCCCCCTCTGCCAATCCCTCCACTGGCTTCCGATTGCGCAACGGATCAAATTCAAAATCCTAACACTGACGTACAAAGCCGTCCACCATACTGCCCCGAACTACATCACTGACCTAATATCCAAGTACCGCCCAGCACGCACACTCCGCTCCTCACAAGACCTCCTTCTCTCTAGTTCCCTGGTCTCCTCCTCCCCTGCCCGCCTCCAGGACTTCTCCAGGGTGTCACCCATCCTCTGCAACTCCCTGCCCCAACCCATCAGATTATCACCTACTCTCCTCTCCTTTAGGCGCACCCTGAAAACCCATCTCTTCAGGAAAGCCTACCCCACCCCCTGCTAACTTGACCGACCTCCTCCATTCTTCCTACCACTCCATCCCCCACAGCTATCTCCTCCTGTGCCACCATCCCCTCCCTCCTAGATTGTAAGCTCCAAAGAGCAGGGCCCTCGATCCCCTCATGTTTTGCATTGTATTGGTATTGTTCTGTCACATGTTCTGTCCCCCTTTGTAATGTACAGCGCTGAGCGAACTATTGGTGCTTTATAAATACTGTATAATAATAATAATAATGAAGCTGTATGCAAATAAGTGCCTAGGCACAGGAAGGGCTCTGCTATTTTTTAGGATGATTTCAAGAGTTCAGGTCAGTTGTCTTGAGTTGTATATTTGAGTTGTTAAGGATGATTCACTCACTGAGGTTTATTTCTGTTCTTGTAGTTCCTATTTCACCGGCCGTTACGGCTCCTCAATACCCTGGTGATGATGGAAGGCAGCCTGGTGCTGTATCAGCTTTACTCCCTGCTCCGCGCTGAGAAGTGGAACCACACCCTTTCCTTGGCGCTCATTCTGTTCTGCAACTACTACGTCTTGTTCAAACTTCTACGAGACAGAATAGTATTGGGAAGGGCTTATACTCACCCCCTCAACAGCTACGGACTCAAACCCCACTGAAAACGACCAGCCCGGGACAGTGGACATTTTTTTTTTTTTTTTTTTTTGTAGGGGGTGGAGAATGTAACCGCAGACGAAAAAAAAAAAAAACAAAAAAAAAAAAAAAAACAGAAAAAATATTTTCATACAGGTCTATTTTTTTCCTCTCAATGTTTATAAATATTTAAGATATTTTATATTTTGTATACTTTTTTTTTTTTTTTTTTTTTTTGTGGTCACCGGTTTGGGGAGAGCTGTCCCAGCAAATGTACCAAAACGTCTCTTGGTTTTATAATGCAGGTATTATTGTATACATATACGATTGTGTATGTGCATGTCCTAGAAGAAGACATTGCAGCCGGACCGTCCTCCCAATATCATCCAAAAGAAAAGGAGGGGGGGGGGGGGGGCAGCGTGGTGTTATAAGGGGCCCTTTACAGGGTGCCACTCTGTGCCCAGCAAATTTCAGTGCCACTTGCCTGTGTTAATGATGGCAAAGCTTGATAGTATTGACAAAACAATAATAAAAAAGAAAAATAATTTTCATAATTCTTTGGGTGCTGCGAATACTCGTCATATTTTTTGCTGAAGTATCTCCTTTTTTATTTTGAAAAATGAAAATTATTTAACGGGAAAAAAATAAATGGTAAAATGACATTTTGAATATAATATATATATATATATATATATATATATATATATATATATATATTATATATATATATATATATATATATAATAGAAGAAAGAACTCTGTTGGTTAAAGTGATTGTAAAGGCTGAAAGTCTTTTTGGTTTTTTTTTTGTTTTTTTGGGGGGTTTTTTTTTTGTTTTTTTTTACCTTCAAGTGCTTATTTGAGTTACTGTTGTCTTTCTATCATCTGGAAGCAGTCTGCCCATTCTCCTCTGACATCAACCAGGCATTTTCCTTCACACAACTGCCGCTCACTGGATATTTTCTCTTTTTCGGACCATTCTCTGTAAACCCTAGAGATGGTTGCGTGTGAAAATCCCAGTAGATCAGCAGTTTTTGAAATACTCAGTCCAGCCCGTCTGGCACCATTGTTCAGTCACTTAAAGTGGAGTTCTACTCAAAAGCAGAAGCTCCGCTTATTTGCCTCCTGCCTCCCTCCACTGCCATATTTGGCACCTTTTGGTGGGGGAGGGGGGAAGCAGGTACCTGTTTTTGACAGGTACCCGTTCCCACTTCTGGCTCAGTTCGCTGCGGCAAAGTGAGACGGAAGTTTGGCCCTCTCCTCCCTCCCGCAGTCTCCTGGGAACTTTCACAGATTCCAGAAGACTGCCGGACCAATCAGGAGGTGCAGCACGACTCGTGCATTTGGCTGTCAAGCCACAAGCTGGCAGAGCCTGGTGCCCCCAGTGGAGATGCTGGCGCTGTGGAGGAGAGAAGGGACGGCGTGGATGAGAACATTGCTGGACTCTGGGACACGTAAGTGTGTGTTTATTAAGTCAGCAGCTACAGTTTTTGTAGCTGCTGACTTTTAATAAACACAAAAACGTCTGGAACTCCGCTTTAAAGTGTTACTAAAACCCCGGACCCTGCATTCACTATACCTGGTCTCCCACTGTGGAACCTAAGGGGTTAATCCTCTGCATTGTGTAAAAACACTGTTTGATCTTGTCTTCTCGGATCCTCCCCTTCTTCCAGTGTCCCCCTCTTATCTCCTGGTAAGACCTATCGTGTGGGGAGCCTCTGCACATGCTCAGGTAGGTGTGTATTGCTAGAGAGTTTTTTTCTTTTCTTGGGAGAGTGCATGTGATCAGCACAGGGCCAATCAGCACTGTCCAGACAGAGGTCACTGTATGTTTACTAACAGATTCATTCGTGTATCACCAGCTCCTTCTAGTGATAATTGCATTTCTGTGTACTGTGAGAGACCAGATATAGTGAATGCAGGGTCTGGGGAGAGCGGATATAGTGAATGCAGGGTCCGGGGGAGACCAGATATAGTGAATGCAGGGGTCCGGGGAGACCAGATATAGTGAATGCAGGGTCTGGGGAGAGCGGATATAGTGAATGCAGGGTCCTGGGAGACCAGATATGGTGAATGCAGGGTCCGGGGAGACCGGATATAGTGAATGCAGGGTCCGGGGAGATCGGATATAGTGAATGCAGGGTCCAGAGAGACCAGATATAGTGAATGCAGGGTCCGGGGAGAGCGGGTATAGTGAATGCAGGGTCGGGGGAGAGCGGGTATAGTGAATGCAGGGTCCGGGGGGAGCGGATATAGTGAATGCAGGGTCCGGGGGAGCGGGGTATAGTGAAATGCAGGGTCCGGGGGAGCGGATATATAGTGAATGCAGGGTCTGGGGGAGGAGCGGTATATAGTGAATGCAGGGTCCGGGGAGAGCGGGTATAGTGAATGCAGGGTCCGGGGAGAGCAGGTATAGTGAATGCAGGGTCCGGGGAGAGCAGATATAGTGAATGCAGGGTCCGGGGGAGAGCAGATATAGTGAATGCAGGGTCCGGGGGGGTGACAGATATAGTGAATGCAGGGTCCGGGGGAGAGCAGGTATAGTGAATGCAGGGTCCTGGGAGACCGGATACCGCGAATGCAGGGTCTGGGGATACCGGATATAATGAATGCAAAGTCCGGGGATACCGGATATAATGAATGCAAAGTCCGGGGATACCGGATATAGTGAATGCAAAGTCCGGGGATACCGGATATAGTGAATGCAGGGTCCGGGGAGACCGGATGTAGTGAATGCAGGGTCCGGGGAGACCGGATGTAGTGAATGCAGGGTCCGGGGAGACCGGGTATATAGTGAATGCAGGGTCCGGGGGGAGACCGGATGTAGTGAAATGCAGGGTCCGGGGAGACCGGATGTAGTGAATGCAGGGTCCGGGGAGACCGGATGTAGTGAATGCAGGGTCCGGGGAGACCGGATATAGTGAATGCAGGGTCCGGGGAGACCGGATGTAGTGAATGCAGGGTCCGGGGAGACCGGATGTAGTGAATGCAGGGTCCGGGGAGAGCGGATGTAGTGAATGCAGGGTCCGGGGAGACCGGATGTAGTGAATGCAGGGTCCGGGGAGACCGGATGTAAATGAATGCAGGGTCCGGGGAGAGCGGATATCGTGAATGCAGGGTCCGGGGAGAGCTGGGTACAGTGAATGCAGGGTCCGGGGAGAGCGGGTACAGTGAATGCAGGGTCCGGGGAGAGCGGATACAGTGAATGCAGGGTCCGGGGAGAGCGGGTACAGTGAATGCAGGGTCCGGGGAGAGCGGGTACAGTGAATGCAGGGTCCGGGGAGAGCGGGTACAGTGAATGCAGGGTCCGGGGAGAGCGGGATACAGTGAATGCAGGGTCCGGGGAGAGCGGGTACAGTGAATGCAGGGTCCGGGGAGAGACGGGGTACAGTGAATGCAGGGTCCGGGGAGAGCGGATATAGTGAATGCAGGGTCCGGGGAGAGCGGATGTAGTGAATGCAGGGTCCGGGGAGAGCGGATATAGTGAATGCAGGGTCCGGGAGAGCGGATATAGTGAATGCAGGGTCCGGGGAGAGCGGATATAGTGAATGCAGGGTCCGGGGAGACCCGATGTAGTGAACGCAGGGTCCGGGGAGACCGGATGTAGTGAACGCAGGGTCCGGGGAGACCGGATGTAGTGAACGCAGGGTCCGGGGAGACCGGATGTAGTGAACGCAGGGTCCGGGGAGACCGGATGTAGTGAACGCAGGGTCCGGGGAGACCGGATGTAGTGAACGCAGGGTCCGGGGAGACCGGATGTAGTGAACGCAGGGTCCGGGGAGACCGGATGTAGTGAACGCAGGGTCCGGGGAGACCGGATGTAGTGAACGCAGGGTCCGGGGAGACCGGATGTAGTGAACGCAGGGTCCGGGGAGACCGGATGTAGTGAACGCAGGGTCCGGGGAGACCGGATGTAGTGAACGCAGGGTCCGGGGAGACCGGATGTAGTGAACGCAGGGTCCGGGGAGACCGGATGTAGTGAACGCAGGGTCCGGGGAGACCGGATGTAGTGAACGCAGGGTCCGGGGAGAGTAGTGAACGCAGGGTCCGGGGAGAGCGGGTACAGTGAACGCAGGGTCCGGGGAGAGCGGGTACAGTGAACGCAGGGTCCGGGGAGAGCGGGTACAGTGAACGCAGGGTCCGGGGAGAGCGGGTACAGTGAACGCAGGGTCCGGGGAGAGCGGATATAGTGAACGCAGGGTCCGGGGAGAGCGAATATAGTGAACGCAGGGTCCGGGGAGAGCGAATATAGTGAACGCAGGGTCCGGGGAGACCGGATATAGTGAACGCAGGGTCCGGGGAGAGCGGATATAGTGAACGCAGAGTCCGAGGAGACCGATATAGTGAATGCAGGGTCTGGGGAGACCAGATATAGTGAATGCAGGGTCCAGGGTTTGGTAATACCTTAATTCCTGTATCATCTCCATCTAGTGGCTGAAATGCAGTATACTTTTTCTTAATTCCCTCAATGAGGAAAATAACGTATTTTGGCCACTAGAAGGAGCTGGTGATACAGGAATGAATCTAAGTAAACATACAGTGACATTTTTGCACAAATGTTTCTGGCCTTCGGATGACAAATGATTTATAAATAGACCCCAAAGTGTATCTAAACCCAAGAAAAAAAAAAAAAAAAAACACTTTATACAGTATCACATCTTATCAGTTCTTACATAGGGTGACTGCATTAGTTTTCATTTTTCAGGCAAAGTACAGTGCAAATACAGAAACATTCCTGTTGATCCTGCCAGAAATCCATTATGCTTGTAACTTCCTGAAGTCTCAAAACATTATAGCCTTCTTCAATGCCGCGTCCGAGTTTGAGGCCCTGAGGTTTCTATGGTTGAGGGATGTGGTCCTTTGGATCACTGGTAGCTGCCATTACTATAGAACAGCCAAAGGAAGGAATGGGGCAGAGAGGTGGGTATTTATGTAGGTGGTTCCAGTCAGAGGTGGGTATTTATGTAGGTGGTTCCAGTCAGAGGTGGGTATTTATGTAGGTGGTTCCAGTCAGATGAGTCTGTAG